TTCAGTATAGGAGGTACTACATATCCAGCAGGTTAGTTCAGAATTCTTTTAGCTTTTATGAGATATGGGAACTGAAAATCTACCAGAGGTTCCCTAACATCAGAGCACTGGAAACAATACCCTACCTGGGCTTGTTACATTGCCAGTCCTCCAATTAGCAAGGCGAATCATAGTTTTTGTTTTGAGCTGATGGTATGGTTTGAATTTGGTGCAGACCTCCCAAGGCCATAGACTGCAGGTATTAAAAATCCACTACACAGCCTGGTGATTGTTCCATAATGATGTAAGTGGTATATTTATGTGGCATGAGTTGGGTCTTCTAGTCTGCACATTATTGACTGGTATGTTGCATTATTTCATGACTGTTTGCACTCATTCATGATCTTCATGTACTGCAACAATGATGCATTACTCCAACAAGATAATGTCCTATGTCATCAGGCCCCGGCTGCCCAGATGATTTTATCCACTGGGCCAGTGAATAAAAGCATTGATTGGATCCAGTAACTTGACCCAAAGAATTGTGAGTTCAATACCTGGCTACTACAGTGATGAACAAAAACTTAGAGAATTGAGTTAAAGGGAGATAACTGAAACATTTGAAAGAGGCATGGCACATAGAAGTAGAACAATCTATCATGGTGGCGGAAATATAGGGATCAGTTCAAAATTCCAATCACTTGAAGAAGCTGGAGCATACAATGGCTGAAATGTTGTAAATATGACAACAAAGATGAGGATAACAGTCCAAATAATATAAATAGTGTATTTAGGTAGCAATTCTTTTAAATATTATTGAATAGAATGGACAAAGAATGTTTGAAATCTTTTGGTGAGTTGTAGAAACTTGTAAATGAATTTGCCAAAATTGTGTGTAATGTTCCAAGGACATTTATTGGTCATTTTCAAGGTATTAAGATAGGTGTCAAGAGCTGATCAGTGGAGTGTTTATGTTGTTGAGTTTGCTTTGAACATGGGCTGGGGGAATAGATTTTGGTGACAAGTGGTAAAAATGACCTTATGGTTCAAAGACCTTTTTAACACAGTGCATTGAGACAGAAACAAATTATTATTGATAGCTGGTTTTATATATAAATACATACATGCATATATACATGAATAAGTCAACACCCAGTGGCAACAGTGTATTTCATGCTTATATGCAATTACCAGGCCATATGCATTGTTTTTTGCTTAACTATTTAAATATACAGGCCAGTGTTACAATATGAGTAGTCTATTGTATTGTTCTAACAGTTATTTTGGTGGGTGGTAACAGTTATGTTTCAAATTATTCTAGAGGCTATTAGGTGGAAATAATTGTGGATCCAGATGCAGGTTTTTGGTTATCTATAGTGTTAACTTTTTTTCTTTATTATTGATTATTTTATTGTTGATTGTTATTATTAATAGCTGAGCAAAAAACACAACACATATGGCCTGACGATTGTGTATGAGCATGAAATGCTGTTGGGTGTTGAGTGCAATGTCCACCTTTATATTTACATACACTCTATCCCTGATATTGAGCACTTTAAGCTATAAATATAGCATACCTTAAAACTAATATATATATATATATATATATATATATATATATATATAATATAATAAAAAGGTTTAAACACTAATATTCCATAGTCATAATTTATTCTTAAAGATCAGAAGAGGAGGGAGGGAGAAGAAAAGAAAAAAAAAGGGGGGGAGAAATGGGGCAGGGGGAACTAAAACTGAACAGCATTTATGAAATAGCCGCTGTGTAATTAAGAAAATTTGACAAAATTAATATCGACTACAGGTTACAAATCAAATATAAACATATAAAAAATAAATATAACGATTATTTAATCATGTATGTATGTGTATATATTTTTATATATTTTGCATATGTATGTGTATATTTACCACTAATATTATATATATATATAAAAGGAATAATAAAGTTCACAGTACTTATTGGAGGTCAACTATGAGTTTCATGATTTCTTACTCATCAGGACTTAATAATGTTTATAATAATTACTGAATGTCTATTTTATTATTTTCTAAACATTTTCTGGACCATGGGAGTTGTCACATCACAGAGTGCCAAGTTAGTGGAATACAAATGCATTTTGAGTGATGAAATAATTTTTTTCTCTGAAATTTTCCCATTTAACTTATTCAAAGAATAAGATAAATTGGTAACTGTCACGCTGTTTTACATGGAATTTTCTATCATAGATTAGTATGAGTTCCCCTATTCTTGTACTTGTTTTCACCATCAGGTGGTCTTGAAAATGGGTCCTCAATGGTATAGCATGTGGATTGATGGAGAAAAATACAGTTGAATATGGGATTTTTCCTTGCTATTGGTAGTATGTGTCTTGTTACTTGGAGATGAAATTCCAAGAGATTTCCCTTCCCCTAAAGATGCCAAAATGGAATGACATCTTGACAATCTCTTAGATCATGGGACTAACAATACATTAGCAAGAAAAAGAACATGGGTATATAAAGTTTTTATTTACTAAAGAAAAAATAGAAATTTTTTTCCTGTTGCTAGCCTAAGAACAAAGAAAAGTTGTCATAGAAGTTCTCTTACCTCTAAAATTTCTGTATCAACATTTTCAGCAAGACATCTATTTTATAAATTTCTCTTTGTCCTTGTGTATATATATATATATATATTTTTAAGGAAGAGTAATTTAGAGGATGAATTCTAAACATCCTTATAACTCTAAAAACACACAACTCATACACCCAAATAAAAATAAAATCATCCTTGATAATGGATAAAAGTATAGCCAAAAGCACTCAGAATTGCAGGACATTCAGACAGTTTCTACAGACTCTGTGTCCAGAAAATGAAAGACTTGTTTGAACACAAGAAAAATTAAATAAAAAGCTTAATCACTCTACCTTGTCTGTGTTCTTTAATGAAACATGTATAAATGAAGGATTGCTGCCTAAATACGATACACACACACACACACACACACACACACACACACACACACACACACACACACACACACACACACACACACACACACACACACCTGATGCTGAAGAGTTCTTTACTTCATCCACTTCCCAAAATCTGATCAATTTTTTTTTTTTTTTTAAAGGGCTTCTTGGCCAACCAGAGAATTTTTATTTACACTCTCATATATATGTGAGCACTGACCACTGATAGATTGATGTCCTATTCAGAATTACATGTGAGTCACAGGTGCTGAGTTTGTGTAGGGAGTGTGATTCACACTGGGTGCCCTCCCACCAATATGGGGCTTTGTGTTAGATTAATCTATGCTTAGTAAATAAAATTATTTATCCCTGTCTCTACATAATGGGGAAATCAATAACTTTTCTCAACCTATTTGACACACCAACAATGGCATTTTGTATGTGGCTGTTTTAATCGAGATTCATTCCTTGAATATTTTCTGAAACCTGACACATTTCAAGAATTCCTCTTGAACATTTTCAGAAAATTGATAAGAGAGATGTTTGGAAATTTCATGGAGATGCCTACAAAAATGAGTCTTGATGAGGATAACAATTTGTGTAATTGCATCAAAGATGTGTGGAAATTTTGACTTAGAATATTTTTTGAGGTGTTGAGGAGGAAATGAAGTAAAAAAAAAAAAACAACAAAAAAAAGTAACCTGCAGAATGTTGAGGAATATAGTAAATTAACTATTTTTCATATATATATATATATATATATGGTGATCACAGCTCTCCCCAGTCCTATACTTTATTTGTAAATTATCATTCAGTCTTAGAAAAGATAGTGGTTACACATTGCCTTTCCCATAGTTTGGAATTCAGACTTTCTTTCTCTTGGACTGGTTGCCACTAATTAAACCAGATCTGAAAGGAAAAAAAGATTTATTCATGCCTTTGTCCCCATCATGACTGCTGTGTTCACTTTTGCACTGATGCTTTTGGGAAAGGCATGAATCAATCTCTTCTGTCCACTCCTAGCTAGAACTTAAATAGCAAAGTACCCTGGGCTCTGTAACCTTGGGTAGCAGCCAGTCTAGAAGAAATTCTACTCTAAATTCCAAAACATGGAGAAACAAACTGGGAAACCATTCCACTATCTTTCTCATTAAATCATGGTAATTCATGGGTAACAAAATCAAGAAAGCTGTGGAGAGCCATGATCCTGAAGGAACATGGCATTAAAAATACATTGGGGTGCTAAAACATTTGCAGTCCAACCCACTTCCAAAAATTTGACGAAATATCAGAACTTATTTTGGAATTCTTTCTTAGTTGAGCTGAGACCTTTTCAGCACCTCCTCCATGATATCAGTTCTGACAGTAATGTGTGCTTTTCTCACCACTGAGTTCATATTTTCTTTCTGATCTTTAGTGCACAAATTCTTAAAATAAATTTTCGGTTAAAAAATGTAAAATTTGGGCTCTAATCATTATTCTTTTTTCTTTACTACCAGAAATATTTGCTGTAATCATTTTCTGCATTATTTGAGGAAGTAATGAAGTAGTAGTAAAGTCGGTGGGCACTGATTTTAAAACAAAACCTCAGTTATAAATATTGGGTTCAAATGCAATTCGTACTAAAATATACAAGCTTTTTGTTTTTGTTGAAGAGTGAATGAAAGTTTGGATGTATCTTTTGAGTTTTAAATAGGCAATTTTTCTTTATGGAGAAGAAAAATCAACCCAGGACATCCTTATTCCAGTCATCCCTTTTATTAAATATTCAGAATTTCTTCCCATCACTTTACTTTGTCCTAGAATACTTGTAATATTTTAGGACAAAGTGTTTTATTACTGAAAATTAAAAAAAAAAAATTCCAGTTACCCATCCCATCTATTTGAAACTCATATTTATGTGTTAAATCCCACTGGTGACATAATGGATTGTATAAATGACTAATTTTGAGTATATCCATATCTGTAATGATTGTATTATAAATTTACTGTATAATAAATGATAAAGATATTTTCTTTTCTAGGCTGGACAGAAGACCTCCAAGCACAGTATGCTCTGGCTGTTACCATTAATTACAGCAGTTTGGATCCTGGGGTCCTTTATCATCACGTAAGTTCAGTTTTTCTCTGCCTTTTTACCTTGTAACATATTACTGTTATACAAATTCAGTTCCTTGAGTTTAATTTCCTTGGTCCTAGAACCAAGCCAGATTAGCCTTTTGGTCAGGTTATTGGAAAAGGGGAAGGATTTATACAGTTATTGTTGTAGAATGCAGAATTGATGAGTTGAGTTCAAACACTGGGTTAATCTACTGCATTCACTATTGTAGTAATCCCCTTGGGAAAGGCATGAACCCATTTCCACTCTAGGATAGACTTGACTATCTAGCCTTGGCTGGCGACTAGTCTTAGACAAAACTTTGAATTTAAAACTGTAGTGAAAGCAATGGGAAACCACTCCAATGTCCTTCTGAAGAATCCACAATTCATAAATAACAATGAAAAAGAATCTGTTGTGCCATGATTCCCTACATTCTGTTGGGACAAGGTGTGTGTGTGTGTGTATGTATATATATATATATATATATATATATATATATATATATATAATTTCTGTTGGGACAAGGTGTGTGTGTATATATATATATATATATATATGTGTGTGTTTTACTTTTAAGAGTTTTTGAATTTCTATGGTGAAATATTACCAAATATTAATTTCTGACCAGTATTTCTCTCAACAGATTTCTCTTGTTTTTTTTTCTTATCCTAGTTACTAGTATTTATCTCTGCATGAACTATGTACAGAATATGACAAAGATAGGTAATTTTTGGCCTACATGCACATGTACTCTTATCATAAACTGAGTCCTTTCAGAGCTTCTCTGTTAGGGGATACATTAGGTGTGCCAAATAATTAAGCCTAACTGTCTCCCGAAGGAGAGCTATTGTTTGGATCCCCCCCTCCAAATAAGCACAACTTGTACGTGGTTGTTCTACTTTTGTTGAACAAGCAGCAATAAAGAATAAAACTGGTAAAATTTGAACTTGCATTTTTTATCTTAGAAAAATTTCTCTGGCAGTGCCTTCCCAATTGGAACCATGATGGTTGATAGAACCATAGCAGTCATCAAAATTTAGCCATATTTTGTTTGTATGGTTTTGGCATGACATAAAGGAAGTGAATATTGGTCAGCATTTAAATACTTGTCTTTCACTTCTTCCATCCCACAAAATAATCAAGTTATTTTTGGACAACTAGTGATGAAAAATGAATTTATTATAAATATCCAAAACAACAAAGAAAATTAGATTTAGAACATGCTTCAAGATCTTGGTTGACTTAAATGAAATTTAGTAGGAGGTGGAAAAAAGTTCTCTGGGATTCAAAGGGAATATTTTATTAAGAATTGGAATCTGGACAAATTGTGCAACACTATTGTTAGCATCTGGCCCATTTGATACAATGAAAGAGAAAATACCTTTTGTCTGGGCAACAAAGTCAACTGGTGATAACAATGAAAATGTGGTGCAGAAAATGATAATGAAGCCGGGATAGGAAGTTCTTTTGCATTCAACTGACGATGACAGGTTTAGAGAATATCATCTGTTTTGCTTCATGAAACACTTGTCATTTGGTCCGTGGTAATAATAAATTTAAGATATTCAATGATTCCTTAAAGAATTCACTGTATCACTACCAGAAACCCGATTAGAAAATTTTGCATCAAACTTCACATATATCCTGGGGTCCTGGAAGCCTTGTGTGTATAAAATATATTTTGTTGTAAAATTACTGCTGATACAAAATGGAGTAATTAAAAATAAAAATGATAAAAATGCTGAATGAGATTGGCTAAGTTAAACATCAATATACACTGGATGTTAAAATTTAAAGGTGAGTATCTTCAAGTTCTTTAATGTTTTCAATGTGAAACTGTAACTGATGTTTATTGTATTTAGCATTTGTATGTTTGTGTGTTATGGGGATGATGTATTGGTCATGGATCAGATGTGGGAAGAATTCCTCAAAGTCTGGAGTTGACTATTTCTCTTCATTCAGTCTGGGGTCCAAAATGTTCAACTTGAACTAGATGTGGTTTAGAATCTGAAAATGGTTATGAAATATTTTTTTATTGAATTAAAATAATCAACATGGAAGATAATGTTCCAAAGAATGGAGAGAAGAATCAAATTCTGTACTGAGAATAGAGAATAATTTAGCTGACTGAATCTGGAATTTAGAGAAGGAATTATTGATCTTCATGACAGCCAATTTCAAACTAGAGACATTAAATAATCTTCAAGATAAACAATCATTGAAACTGAGGCAGAATAAATGGTGTCACATTATGGGAGCCAATCTGCAGTTGATAATCTAAGAAATGGCATTGCACTCCTCATTCCGAATCCCTTTGGCTGCAAATGGGGGAAAATTTCTCAACTTATAAAATAGATCTGGCATTCATTGATGGACAACAACCAAACTCCCTTTGATTTCTCAGAAGTGCATGCATTCATTAACATGACACCACTATCACAGGTGGTGAAAAGAACTGTAAAAAGATAATAAAAATATTTTTTTATTCAAATTCCAAAAATATCTTCTTTTTTTTTTTTTTAAATCCAACAAAAGATGTTACACAGGATAAGTTTTCTGCATGAACTTTACACACATTCTAATGGATAATAGCTTTGAATGAGAAATTTGAGAGCTGATGTCAAATTCAAGTCAGGTTTGTTACATTCACTTACATGCAAATATCCTTGAGAAAGGTATGAATTCACTTCTTGCCCCATCTATAGGTTAAATAGTAAGATTTGTATCTGGAGAAATCTTTATTTAAAAAAAAAAATTTTAATATAATATTTACTTGCAAAAAAAAAAAATTATTTTGACAGTCTAAAAATAATTTGTAATTAAATAACTCGGTATTAAGAAGCTGTAAAAAAAAAAATCATTCCACCAACATTACGCCCATTTTAGTTTCTATTCTTATCTCATATCTTTTTTATCAGGGTGTGGGGGGGATCATGACCCTCCACAATTTCCTGTTTTTGTTGAACAAAGTAACTTTTGAGCTTTTACCATCCCTCTTTTTGTTTGTTCTGTCATTCATTCATGCATATAAATTAAATAGATTACTCACTGTTTTCTCCAGCTTCTCTTGGCGGTAATATGTCCTGTGAGTGTTAAATTCTCCAGGCCCTCTTTATATCTCCTAGAAATTTCAACTGTCTTTTTCTTGATTGTTATTAACTTTCCTTGTTACTATTATTAAAATTTCCTCATTACTCATATTCTGTCTGTTGCATTCATTGATAGAAGCACATATGTCATTTCAAGTACTTTCATCTGTGAAGAGATTGTTCCACATACACTGCCATACAGGAGATTAGATATTACATTGCAATTCAGCATTCCTTTCTTTGATAAAATTATCAAAGTCCTAATGAGCGATATGTTCTTTAAATGGATAATTCAAATTTTGCTCTATCAAGATGGCCTCCCATGGCAAAATTAATAGTTGCAGATTTCAGCTAAAGAAGTGAAGCAGGGAGAGAGATTTGATTCTTGTTAGGAGGCACAATTTTTCTTTGGTAAAACTACTCAATCTAGGCAGGTTGATTTTAATGTCACTGTTTAATAAAAAACAGGGATAGCAACTTAAACATGTGTACCCAGTAAAAATAATGTTTATGATATTAAGAAATAAGTGATACCTCTTCTGTTGTCCAAAGGGGCAAAATGAAAATCTAGCAGAGGTGTTTGAAAAGATGAGTTCTTAAAAGAAAAAAAAAAACAAAAGAACACAATGACCCAGATTAGCTTTTTCGTCAAACTAGTCCTGAAAGACAAGATGGTGTGGAGGTTTGCAAAGTCAATTATGTATTTTAGAATTTCAAAGAGATAAAAAGAAAATATGTATATATTCTTTAAGTGTATTTATGAGAAAAGTTGAAAGCCTAGCAAAAGTTGGTATGATTGGATGGAAATTTCAAAGTTTCAATGATTTTGTCTAGATTCTTCATATAACCATGGCTTCTTGTAAGTTCCAACAGTTTCTCTTATGCCTGTCTGTAGGAACAGTTGGAGTTTGAAACTGTAATGCCTTCTTATTGTGACTTCTGACTTTGTCCAGGCATAGAATCATTGGCAGAGGTCTGATTCTATCTAAGAGAAAAATAATCTCTACAATTTTTTAGTTAGCTAACCAGCCATCTTCTTGCTCAGTCACTTTGCAGTGTTTATTATCAATTGTATCAGTAAATGCACAATATAATTGAAGATTGTATCCTGTCATTAATAAAATATCTAGCAATAACATGACTGACTCTAAATTTATTTTCCAGCTGACACATTAAACTTTATCTCTTAATTGATACAAGGAATAAGAAAAAACAAAACAAAAAGAAACTCCAGTTTAACACTTCTCATTACTTTGATCAATAATGCTTGAACAAAAATAAACAGATTAGCAGTCGAAGGGGTGAGCAAATCAATTGTTTATTCTTGACCGTACTTGTTCAAGGCAATGCTCAGAGATGGTCAAGGTCTTGCACAGTGTAAATATTAAGAAAATTAAGTACATCTTTTTTCTTTTTCTTTTTTGTGTGTGTGTTGGTGGGGGGAGGTTCAGTCGCATTGTATATCATTTTATCTTTTTGTTTGACAATCTACATATGTAGGAGGTGCTGAAAAGTTCTCAGCCTGATCTCCTTAAAATCTCACCAAACACTATTTTTAATTCATTTTTTTTTTTTTTTTTTGGTTGGATTGAAAACATTTCAGAACCACCCAATTTTATTTTATTTTTTTTTTTTTATAACCTGCATATCGATAATGTCGTGGGTTTTTTTTTTTTTTTATTACCAATCATTCTGTTGATGGCAAATGTCTAAGTTATAAGAAAGCAACTTAGAGAAATAAATGTAAAAGATTGGTTGCTGATTTTTAGTTACTATTTTATGTAATATTTTGCAATCATTTAATATTGAGGATGGAATATTTCTTGATTTATCAGATTTCCATCTTTTCTTCCTAAAGTTTTTTTTTTTTTCTCTCTCTCTCTCTCTTTCCACCCAGTCCATAAATGAGGGACTTTTCTCTTTCCTTTTTTTGCATATTGTTTCTTTCTTTCCTTCCTTGTTTACATTATTTGTTAACATTTTTAGTTTTGGTTTATTTTTGCCTACTTAGCAAATGGTTCACTTTTTTGTTTTTAACATTCCCTTTTACTTTCTTTACATTTTTATCAGTGTTTACTTTTAATGTTTACTTTTAATAATACATTTTGCTTTCCCCACATTTTATTTATTTTTTACACAACTTTTTCACTTTATTTAAATATTATTTATCTGAGTCAAAATATTTTTTCCAGTTATGTCATTGCTGTTGCCAATGGGCGGGTGGAGCCAAATTTTCCCTATATCAGGTAAGACATTTCCATTTTATGACTTTTCATTTGTTTTTCAGGGATCATGTAAGACTCACTCCCACTTCCATGACACAAATTAGCATTTTTAAATTTCTTATAAATGTATGAAAAAGAAACTTGTTTTGAACTTGGTCACATAGGAACAAATTTAAATTACAAGAATTTAATCATTAACAATGCACTTTCTCTACTTGTAAGATGTGATTTAAAACAAAAGTCTGTTGTTGTATACACCATTATCTTTTACTAACTCCCTGCATTTCAAAGGTGGGACTTTTTCCTTTGGGATTACTTCTGTAATGTTTATAATACCCACTGTTCCCAAGCAGTCTCCAATATAAATCTTGACCAGGCTCTATGTTGCTTAACTTTAGTAATCAAATGAGAACCAGTGCTTTTAGCATGATTTGACCATAAATGACAAATGTATAATAGCCTGTATTCATTTTTGACTAGTAATTACGTTTATCTTAATTTTTTTTTTAATTGTAAATACACATATAAAAAATATTGCCAATGCTTAATAATAGGTCTGTTCTGTCAGTAATGTTTGCATTAATTAATGATAATTAAATTAATATTTGCATTAATTTCTGACCACTGTTAATACCTTTCTTTCCAATTTCAGTGCATTTCTTTAGTAAAATCATTAGTAATGCATTTACATTAGATATATAATGGCTGGTATCAGGAGAATTGCTCCTTCCCCGGACATTTGACCCACCACAACTTGTGGAGGGGGATAAATATTAATAAAACTAATTAGGGTTTTATTTTCATGTTTTATCTGTTATCCAAGAAGAATTATCCAATAATAAGATTTATATTTTTATATCATCACTATAATGATATACAACTAAAATTGTAAATTGTTGGCTATACACAAATACAATAATTACCAATTACATAATTAATAACTGTCTGGTTAAACAAATGTTTATTAAAAAAATAATTAATAATTACAATAATCAATTCTTACATTTCATATTATCCAATAAGACTTATATTTTTATATCACTATAATTCTACAACTAAAATTGTAAATAATGGGCTATACATCTCTGTCAACATGGTGGTTCTCAAAGTTTTGTACAATATTTGCTATTCTGACTGTCAAATCTTGATGACGTTTCTGCTTAGTTGGTACTGGATGTCTTGCAAGCATCTGATTGATGGTGACACTGCTTAGTTCCTGTTTCCTCTTCAACACTTAAATAATTTTCCATATATTTGGATGGAATGAAATAATGTTATCTTGCATATGGCTATTCCATTCTTCCAATGACGTTGGTGTGAGGTGAATCTTCAGCTACATGATCATATATATATTCCACATGGTAACAGGGAAACATGGAGATCGCCTGTTATGTCAACATGTTCTGCCGATATATGTATCTTCAAAGTAGTCTATGACAAGATCAACTTCAGGTAGCATGGTCACTTGCAGTGTCTCAAATGCATCAATCACTTTAAAACTTTTTCCCTTCCCATTGTCCTAAGGGTGCAATTGTCCTATAACCATAATGGCTGTGTTGTCAGTAATGTGTGCATTAATCATATCCTTATTAGCAACCTTATTACTCAAGGTTTATAATTTTTTTTTTCTTATTTGATTGGCTGGTTCCAAATCTGTTTCACCAGTCACAAGGTAAATCAGAAAATAATGGTCTTAAATTACATTCTTTGTATCACTATGTAATTCCTACCCAAGTATCACTTCTTTTCCCAAAAGTGATCTCCCTTCTCTCTCCATATGTGGTCAGCCACGCCTGATTTTTCTACTTTCCCTCCCGTTACAGCTTTCTGGTGTTCTTGAAGCCTTACCTTGAGGGGGCAGCCTATCTCTCCTTTATATTCCTTTCCGCAGCTGCACAGGATAGTGTACACACAGTCTTTAGTCATGTTCCTCTCTGTGGGGGGTATCACTTGTGAGAGATACCTGCGAAGTGTTGTCACGCTTTTGAAGGTTGTCCTGATGTTATATGGACCGCAGATCCTTTGTATTTTCTCTGATAACCCCTTCACATAAGGCAGGCAGACTGTTTTCTGAGTGTTGTTGCCCTCCTCCTCCTCCTCTTGTACCTGCCTATCCCAGTTTTTGGGGGCTGCTGCCATGTACCCAGGGTAGTTGTTACGTTGTAGGGTACTACTTATACTGACCAATTCCTTATCTAACGTCTCTGGATCGCCACTTATGACTTTTGCTCGGTGTTGTAAGCATCGGACGATCCCTTTCTTTACGCTGTATGGATGGTGGGAGTCGAAATTGAGGTACTGTCCGGTGAATGTTGGTTTACGGTATACGGATGTCTTGAACCATGCTCTGTTCGAGATATTAGTACATCCAGGAATGGGAGTGAGTTGTTACTCTCTTTCTCCGTTGTGAACTGTATCGAAGGTCTCTTTGAGTTCACATGGTCCAGTAGAACCTGGACATCTTCCTGATGTGGCCAGAGTATGAATGTGTCATCTACGTACCATAACCATATAGTTGGCTTTAGCGATATAGACTCTAATGCCATTTCTTCAAAGTATTCCATGTATATATTCGCCATTGCTGGTGATAATGGCGAGCCCATTGCTAAGCCCTCATCCTGTCGATATATGTGAGATTCCATTCCGAAGTATGTTATTTGTGTACAGAAAGTCAACATCTCCATCAGATTATCTATTGGAATACAGGTCCGCTCCTCTAGGGAAGAGTCAGTCAATCTATCTCTGACTACTGAGAGTGCCTCCTCCGTGGGTACCTTGGTGAACAGACTCACCACGTCCAAGCTCACCATCTGGTTGGATAGGATGGGAGCATCTTTGGTTATTTCCATGAAGTGGGTGGAGTTTCGGACATATGAAGGAGACTTTCCAATCAATGGGTCAATTATATCTACAAGGAAGCGACTCAGAGGGTGGCAGCTGCGGAAAGGAATATAAAGGAGAGACAGGCCGCCCCCTCAAGGTAAGGCTTCAAGAACACCAGAAAGCTGTAACGTGAGGGGAAGTAGAAAAATCAGGTATGGCTGACCACATATGGAGAGATCACCGCCCCCTGTGGGATCATGTTGAGATCATAGACAGGGAACACCATTGGAAAATTCGTAAACTTAAGGAACCAGCACATATGCTAGGCCACAAAAATCTCCTGAGCCGACCAAGCATAGAAATAAATACAATATGGGAACCAGTAATAAGGAGTGCCAGAGAAAAGCAATGATAACAAAGTTGCAATATGAACTCTGGTAAAGACATGCAATGATAACAGCAAAAATTGCAATATGAGCACTGGTAAAAATGATGCTGAAAACATTAGGTTTATAATACTCAGAAGTTCATACCCAGATGTGTCCTCAAGGACATATGGCACAGTGGATAAAGGCGTTATCCAGTGACAGACCCAAAGAAGGTGAGTTCAATTCCTGGTTAAGGAAGTGGAGAACTTTCAGAGGGAAAATTAGCAGGAGATAACTGATAACTGACATCCATCAGACATGGCACAGTCTACCCCAGAAATAAAGGGTTCAGTTCGAAATTCCAACCACCTGAAGAAGGCCGGAGCGTACAACGGCCAAAACGTTGTGACAAATATGACGACAAAGATGAGGACAATAGTCCGACTAATGTAAATACTGTACATAATACCTCATCTCAGAAATATAGACAGAGATATTACATTGTTGTAATACTAAGATATATTTGGTGTAGGATGCACATTATCATAACATTGTGATCTGGTTTTTATTTTGTATCAGCTTCAATGCCATTGTACTATTGTTCATTTCAGTTACACAGCCATCTATGCACCTGAAAGGGCAATTTTCTCCCAGTTGGTCAATATTGGTGCTGTCTTATGTAAGTCAATTTCTCTTAATACAATTACTAGCTGGAAACCTGCCATACAGGCTGAATATTAACCCATGCCCTCTTGGTGTCACTTTACACTGACAGCTTTATATATATATGTATGTATAATTATAATTTTTTATATTTCACTGAAATATGTTTGAAAATTTTCTTCTGAAAGCAAGAAAATATGAACTTTCAGCAAAATGGTTAGAAAATATAGGAAAAAAAAATGTGTTTGAATTGACATCAGGAGGATATGGGTTTTTTGCTGAGAATTAAAATGATACTTTTGGCCACAATGTGTGAGATATTTGTGTATTTAGGCAGCAAATTTGCTTTTAGGCATGTCTGATTGAATAAATTACGAACATTATCTTTGCTTATTTTGATCATAATCCTTTCATATTCACAAATATTTATCTGTATATTACAAGAAATTGTGCATTTCTTAAATATTTATAAATATGAAAGGATTATGATCAACATAAGCAGACATAATGTTTGTAACTCATTCAATCTATATATATATATATATATATATATATATATATATATATAATATAAAAAATTTGAACTATTCAACGGATCAACATATATTAAGATTTTTATAAAAATATCCAACTGACCATAAATTTCTCGGACCTAATTTTATTGTAACAACACATTTTTTTTCCCAAAGCAATAAAACCACTAAGATGCAAGGGGTTACTGAGTGCAGGAGAATATGAAAAACATAAAGGCGAGAGAACAATAAAAGTACAGGTATTAAGACAGAAGATAACATGACTTGTAATTTATTTTCTTTTGAAGATAAAAGTTGACTAGAAAGCAAGAGGCCAGAAGAGAGATCCACAGAAGTGTGAGAGAAAAAAAAACTGGTGTTAATATAGAACTTAGGTTATATGTAGCAATTTCAACTGTAAAATGAAACATAGCTGTCAATTTAGTACTGACCTTAAATTCGTAAATTAAGGTACCAAAGAGGAAAACTCATCAGAACAATTACCATGAAAATATTTATAGAAAAGTCACAAAGAAGATACGTTATGGCAATGGAAAAGTGACTGAAATCAAGATACCAAGTCAGGACTGATAAAATTGCAGTTTCCTCAAAATACATAGCAAAAGCACCAGACCATATGTGTCAGCAATATTCAATGCATGAATGTATGATAGATTTATAAAGGTGTGAGATTTTTCAGTAACCAGGGAAAAAGTCATGGGAAAAGGGTCATCACTTTTAATAGCTTGATATCTACTTTATATAAGTTACAAAGAAAACCAGTTAAATTCAGTTGACACAAAGTAAATGTTCAATTTAGCATTATACTTACCCCTCACTAAAAAATTCAAGTTTTAATTTTCAGGATTTAATATTCTGCAAGGATTTGCACTGCCAAAAAATTTTTTTGACAGGATGTTATAACTGTATTATTTATCAGTGGTTTTGTTTGGGCTCAGGTAAAGTCTCCCTCACTTACTTTCCTCTTCTCTTTCCTTCACATGTGGAGTAGTCCTAGAACAAAGAGTTTTCTTTTTAGTAAAAATCAAGAAAAAAGCCAAAAAATTTGAGAGGCGAACATATATATATATATATATATATATATATATATATATATATATATATATATATATATATATATATACACACACACACAGAGGGTGTTCAAAAGTTGCCTCGGGATTTAAAAAGTAATTTCAAAATTTTATTCGAAAATATTTTAATACCAAATGAAAATTCAAACATTGGAAATATATTCCCATTTAAATTTCACAAATGTATTGTACTTATCCTCAGTTTTCAACTTCCCACAAATACATTCTTTTGATAACATTCTCCATTAACAATGATTAATAACTGGCTGCAAGCCCTCAAATTTCTGCACAGATGTTTTCCCTGAGTTGCTGAATTGTCTGTGATTTATTGAGTTATACACACACACATATATATATATATATATATATATATATACACACATTAAGGTTTCCACAAAGAAAATAATTGGGAGACATCAGATCAGGAGAATGTAGTGTGAATGATGGATTGGTTTAATTCCAAATAAAATTCCAAGGTTTTAGTTCTTTCTTCAGTGAATTTTTCTATGGGTAATTTCCCTAAGTTCTGAAAAAAAAAAGTATGAAAAGTCTGACATGTTATGACATTTTTGAACACCTAGGTAACTTTGGGACATCCTGTATGTGGGTATGACATACACACATATTCATATAAATGAGAGAGAAGAAATAGAGAAAAGGAGAGAGAGAGAGCCAAGAGTCTGAAAGAAATAGGGCAAAGCAAAAAAAAAAAGGGGGAATAAAACTAGAAACATCTAAAATCTCAACTACATGCAAATAGCAGCCAAACAGCTGTGACAAATGCCACCATCAATTTTAGGGGTAAGGTACCAAAAACTTCTACCCACCCAAATTTTGACAATTAAGAAAAGGATCAGCAAAACTGGTACTATACTGCCCAGAAATGCAATCAATTTGACTGAAATTACATGTTAGGGGTTAAAAAATGCTTGTAACTCTAACTTTTTTTTTTTTTTTTTTAAAAGATGGCGGCAGAATAGGGGTTATAAAGAAAACTATTTTTGAATTATAGAAAAGTATGATTTAAAATTTGACAACTTTAGGAATAATATCCCGGATTGACTTTTATTTACAAAAACCTTTATTTTCTTGGTAATCTTTAATAGCATAGTGAGTTTAATCCTCACTGGATTCCTCTAAACTTGTGCTTAAAAAGAAAAAAAAAAGCTAAACTCTATAAATTGTTTATGATTCAAACTAGCAGTTTGAGATTAAATATCAGAATAGAGAGTCTTAAAATGTTGTGAACTTTTTCATCAATATTGGATTGTACAAAAAGTTAGTGCTGTTGCAATAAAAGTATTTAATTTTTAACAAACCATTACTTTTGGTCGAATAAAATAAGCATCATTTTCAGCCTTTCATATTTTAAGGTGAAAATATAACTCAAATCTAAAAAGATTAAAGCAATTTATGGAGAAGTTTGCTAAATTTCACAATGGGGATTTCTTTTGCTGAAAAATCTTTCAAGATCAGTTTGTCAATGTTAGTCTGAAATATGTTTATGTACATCTCTTTGTAAAATAAGAAAGAGATGTACAACTAGATAAACATTCAGAATAAAAATGTGTAATATTTATAAAAATTGGGGCACAACTTACCCAGAAGTCTTTGTATCAGAATATTGTTTCTGCCATAGAGATCAATTTGCTCATTTAAAAAAAATAGAAAAACATGCAAAGAGCGTGTTAAGCAACTTAAGCTCTTTTTTGAATTACAATGAATTGAGGTTGATAGTGATGAAATGAAGATATTACTTGAGAATAATCCACTTTATACAACACTAGATAAACAGCATACTCAGAATATCCGCATCAAATGCTGAAAATAATTTGTACCAGGTTGGTTATGTTAGATGAAAATATTCTGTTGATGAAAAGTGGATACTTTACAATGCGGAATGCAAGAGATTGGTGGAAAATCAAAATAAATTGCCATTAAAACCTACTAAATGCTGGATTTGGGATTAAGTCTTCTATCTTGAGCTCAATTTAAAGAACCAAATGATTGATTTGCATAAATATTGTTCTCTATTAGCTAAACTGAAAAGAGCAACTGATAAAAAATGCATAGAATTAGTGAAGAGAAATTGTTATGATGTTGATTTGGGGTTAGTAAAGACAAACGCCAAATAACACGTAACAATAAAAAGGGGTTTATTAGGTTGGTAAGTAGGTACAGAAATCGCCTGACTAGTCTATAACTAGCTCAGCCAAGAACTTCTCTGACTGTCTTTTGACATGCCACTATTTAAAGTCTTTGTTTGTAGACAAGTTCATCTTCAAGAGGGGTGGTAGGTTTCCTACACAACAGAAATATAATATTCCATCAAGATTATGCTAGAGTGCATGGATCTTAGGAGAATAGGCAAGAATTGTTGCAATTTGGCTGGGAAGTTTTCACTCATCTGTTTTTATTGAGTAAATATTGAACCTTTTGGATTATCATTTATTCTAATCTTTAGAGAATTGTCTTAAAGAAAAAAAAAATGAAATTACCTGGAGGCACAATAAAGCATTCTAGGATGATAGAATTATGAAGTTGTTTGGAAAACTGCAGAAGATAGCAGAAAAAATGGTAAATGTTGTGCAAAGAAGTTAATGTCTCAAAATAAATAAAGGTAATTTGTGCTGAACTTGAGAAATATTTACATGCACAAACACCAAATTTTACTTTTGTTTTTAAGGGTAGGAGGAATAGGTGTAGGAAGATCGTGTTGCACCAATTCTATGAAGGAGAAAAAACAAGTTTAGTTACAAAATTTATCCCACTCAATTTGAATAAATTATGTTAAATTGGCAGATTCAAATGAAATGATTGCTATTGGTCCACAGGTATAGGCTCCAAATTGCCAAATGCAACTGCTGCAAATTCTATGAATTGCTTCAGCAAGGATTTTCTTTAAGATTTTAAATAAAAATTTACTAAACTTTGTACAATTTTAACTACCTTTAAATGATAAGGTAATGTGATTCAGGCATTTGTTGCTTGGTTTTGGACTCTTTAATCCACTCCCACTAAATTTTGTTTGTCACTCTTAGCCCATAAACCACATTTTAAATGTAGTAGTAACTTTAATAAACATTTTTTCTCATTCACATTATGTGTAACTGAAAGAAATTTTCGTTATTTGCACCTGAACCAGAGAACTGTGATAACCAAAATTCCCATCACCTGCAATTAATGTCTATTATAATTAACTGACCCCAGCACATGCTCAAATGTGGAGAAGTAGGAGGTTAAAAGATTGTGCTATGCTAGTTTCCCAAGTGAGGAATGTCAGCTTACTTAGAAAATCAGCATTCAAAATTCACACACACAATGGAATTTTGTGGTAAATTCACATTACATGTAACCACAGATAGTTTAATAGCACATTGAACAATTCACAAGTAGTCCTGAGTCAACCATATCTGAGTGGGTTTTACCAACATAACAACAACAAGAAGAATGCTTACCCAGCCAAAATTTGATTAATGACAAGATTTGGGTAAATTAATATTTCAGTATTTTATTCACATCAGTAATATCTCTTATTGCCATAAGTATTTACTGGGTATATGTGTTTGAATTGATGTCCTTGTTTTTTAATATCTTAAACACTGAAATTAATACGAACTGGCCTAAATCGAGAACTCCGAAACAAAAAAAAAATGTGTCTCCAGACAGGAATCAAACATGTATTCCTGTTTTTTTTAATCTGGGAAAACCACTCCTATAGCTTAAGCGTGGTGTTAAAAATTTGACAACAGGAGTCCATCTTGAAACAGCAAAGTTCAATTAGCAATTTAAAGAAATGCATATTTCTTTTTCTTAAGACTTCTCAAACAAGGTCAGTTGGTATTAATTTCAATGTTTAAAAATATAAAGAAAACATTATCAACTTAAATATGTAGACCCACTAAAAATAATGTTTATAGTAATAGGAAATAGTCAGATTATAAAATTAATTTAAAAACACATATATATTGTTTATTTGAGAAGCAATCCTTCTTTTATACAAGTTTCATTAAAGACGAATGATAAGGTACTGTGATTAAGCTTTTTATTGAATTTTTCTTGTGTTCCTCTAAGAGTTTTCTTTTCTGGACATAAAGTGCATAAAAATTATTCAAATGTTCTGTATATCCAAGGGCTTTTGGCTATTTTTTCAGCCATTTTCAAGGATGATTTTTATTTTTCACTAAATGTATAGATTTTTTTGTTTGTATTCAGAGTTATAGGAATGTGTGTGTTTTTTTTTTTTTTCTTCTAAAGATGGTCAGCACATTGTGGCTGTATTCATAGTTGATGTTATTGAATGTTGGCTTTTTCTTTTTTATTATTAATGCTTCCATTATTTTTATTTTGTTTCATGTGGATAAGGCAAGTGGTATTTTCTACAAGTATGTTGCAAATGGGGTTTTGTAGGTCTCCATGTGTTTTTAAATGAATCCTAATTGAGCTATGGTCAATTAGGATTCATTAAAAACCATCTTTGATAATGGCTAAAAGAATAGCTGAAAGCACTTGAATATACAAATATGTGGACAATTCTTAGACACCAAAAGAAAACTTAATAAAAAGAAAAAAAACAAACTAATAATGAATAAACAAAAAAAATAAGAAAACAGGAAAATGAAACAAACTAAGAAAAAAAAAAAAAAAAAAAAAGACCAAATGACAGATGCATACTTAAACATAACTAACAGGTTATCAAGACAGCAAAAATGCTTCTCCGTGTTATATCTCAAAAAAGTGACAACACAAAAGTTCAGGCAGCTTAAGTTTCACACTGCTGTGATCATCAAGCAACCAGATAATGCACACACACGCATTTTTATATATATATATATATATATATATATATATATATATATATATATATATATGAATACATTCATTCATTTTGAGCTTTCAACAGTCACTTATTCTGATAATGTGAATAAAACATTGAAATAATAACTTGCCTGACTACAACCGCTTGCTGTTACGTAGTTTTCTTGGCTACAGCCAGTTACTACCGAATTTCTGTTTGATAAGGATGAATCATTGTCTTTTCTCTTTACAGAATGAAATAATTTATTGGATATACTCCAGACTCTTTGATCATCCTGATTTTGTTTTTACTTAACACCAAAAGAAGGGAATATTTTGATTCTGAGCTTTTTTTTTTTTTTTTTCCCCAGTGGGATCCACTGCTTATGTTCGCTATATTCAAGTCAAAGCTGATTACCCACACATGTCTACGAAGATGAGAGGTTGCAACGTGGCCAGCCTTGTTTTGGGTATGCTTTCTGCTCTTGGACTTAGTATGGTGGCAAACTTTCAGGTGAGTTTATATTCCATGCAGATGTGGCATCACCCAATCTAGGGACAAAAGTATATTTGTTTGAAAAAAAAAAAAACTCATTTAATTTATATATCCTTGAAGCTGCATACTGATTAAACCATATTTTTTTGTTGTTTTAAGTTACAATTTACTTGTTAAAAATGCTGTGGCTAAATAATCTAGGGCAGAACCATCTAAATTTTTGTAATATAAATACATTTTTTTTAATTAAATTCTTTAAATATTAAGTTCTGTTAGTCAAACAAAATATATAAAAAGAAATGTCAATGAAAAATGTAAGTAAGTAAAAAAAAAGAAAAAGAAAAAAGTCAATTAACCATACAAGTCAAGATGTGAGCTATGAATTGCAGTTGTCAAAATTGAACAAGTACAAAAGTTTAAATATATTGCAAATGTTTTAACAGATGACAAAAATGTGACATTGAAATCTGAAGGTGTACTGGAATAGCAAATGATGCCATTCAAAAGTTAAAAGATTAAGAAACTGGAAAATCTCACTACAAAGAAAAGACTACTGAACAGCTATGTAATATTAATCCTCCTATATGGCAGTGAATACTGGACAATTACCCCACAGTTGAAGAAGAGACTTGAGGCAACAGAGATATGGGTTTACAGAAGGATGCTGAGAATACCATGAACAAATCATGTAAACAACTAGGAAGACTTAATGAAAACTAAAAGGATACTTATAATTAAAATCAGAAAGTAGTAGTTGAAATTTCTGGGATAGATAATGAGGAAAGAAGACTCGGATAATTTGACACTCATAGAACATTGAGGAAACAGTGATTAAACGACCTAATCAGTCTGTGTATGGATGTCAGAACAGGGAATGGAGTCATGGTAAAAAGACAAGAGCAACAAAGGATAGCAAGTTGTACAGTCATGATTGTCTACATCCTGAAGTGACAAAAAACAATGAAGATATGATGTGCCAGTTTGGAAAGGTCTTGCTTAGGGAAATTTTAATTATACATGGTGTGGCAAGAATATCTCCCACATAATGGTAAGCTAGATAAAGACACCATTGCCACTAATGTCCTACAATTATGTGAAAGTCATTTTTTGGAGGTACATGTAGGAGGTATGTGGGCCACTTTCTTTATTATTTGATCAAAAATAAAATATTGACTAACTGAAATTTAAAAAAAAAAAAATAGAAAATGACATCTTTGAGACATCACTGCAATTAGATTCCTTACTTGTTTCAGTGATAATTTTGATAGCAGATATTGCTGTAGAGCTTGTTCATGTTTGTGGGCTTATTATGTTAGATGCTAATTTCAACACTTTCTTATAACTTCTTGATGGAGTTGACATCCAGCATTTGAAGTGGCCATGACAGCATCTCAGTGTTAATGTTTTTGGTGTGTAGTGATATGCAAATTAGTATAATTTGCATATGAGCAGGTAGCTCATAAATGGACACCAACGAGAACGGAAGTGGAATAAGAACTTAGTGGATACACGACATAACAATGGCGTCGCCGATAGGATACTCTTTGGTCCTTGAAGACCCAGAGTATGTAGACACGTGGATTCGTTGCTTTGCTGCTAATGCTAGATGTAAAAAGTTGAAAGACAACAAAACAGAGGAGGGGAAAATGAAATCACCGACTTGTTCATGGCTACCGCTGGTTGTGAAGCGATTATGAAGGTTGCTACAATGGTTTACCCTCGAGAACTAGAAGAAATGACTTTCGAAGAAATAAGTCAGGTTATTAAGGGAAACATGAGGCCAAAGAAAAGACTGGTGATTGCAGAAAGGACCAAGTTTATGGCAATGAAGCAGGAAGTTGATGAACCGATAGTAAAATATTTACACCGGTTAAGAAGTGCGAGTAAATACTGTGAATTCGAAAAACTAGGAACAGGCGAGCAGACAACGGAAGAAGAATTAATCCAACTAAGATTAATTGAAGGTATGCATAATTCGGCACATAGATATAAGTTAATGGAACAGTTACAACTTACAAATATGCCTTTGAATATGTGTATAGAATTTATACAACAGCAGGAATTAATACATACCTACAACCAAAATAAAAATAAATCCTACGAAGAAACAATGGCTGAAACATATACGGTACAAACAAAAAAAAAAAATTGTGCGTACTGTGGAAAAATTCATGAAATGAAAAAAGAAAATGCCCAGCCTTTGGAAAGACGTGTTCAAAGTGTTTAAAAAAATCACTTCAAAGAAGTATGTAAAACGAAAAAATGTGGAAAGAGTAGAGGATGAAAATAGACAGATTTTTAATGTAAAAAAGGATAATATGCAAAATACTGGATCTAAGAACGGAGATACAAAAATAAAAGTGAAAATCAACGACTGTATTGTCGAAATGCAAATCGACACAGGTAGTGACGTCACGATAGTACCCAGAAATTTGTGGGAAAAATGGGAAAACCGTTTTTAAAAAAAACCAACGTACAACTACTTCAGTTTGATGGCTCGATTATAGCAATTATGGGTTACTTTGAAGGTTCAATAGAATAAAAAAAGAAAAATATGAAATAGTACCCATTATAGTTACAAATTGCCTAAAAAACGCATGGACTACTGGGGAATGACGTGTTAAAAATAAATTCAACGAAGTTGATTAATGAGATAGAAATAGAAAAAACAGGAAAATTAAAAACTATGAAGCTAGCCTGAAATTAAAAGAAGATGTTTCCCCCTCCTACTACGAAGCGAGAAAAATACCAGTGCATTTATTACCATTGGTAATAGCTAAATTGCGAAAGCTAATAAAGGAAGACTTATTAGAACCTGCCCTCCAGGAGGAAGTAAATGGGCATCACCCATCGTGGTATTGAAAAAAAAAGATGGTGACCTGAGAATTTGTGGAGATTATAAAATAGGGGTGAACCATAAAGTTTGTGCTGACTCGCACCCTATTCCAAATGTGGAAGTAGCTTTACATAAGCTTGCTGGAATGAAAGTATTTTCGAAGATAGACCTAAAATCAGCTTACCACCAAATACCGATAAATGAAAATTTTAAAGAAGTGACGACTATAAACACACCTATAGGCCTGTTAAGGTGGAAAAGAATGCCGTATGGCATAAAAACGGCAAGTGCAATTTTTCAAAAAGCTATTGAAAAGTAATAGGAAATGTTGAAAATACCATCTGTTATCAAGACGATATATGTGTTGGAGATTTAAATGAAGATGATTTAAAGAAAAAACTGAAAATATACTGAACCGGCTGAGAGACGCTGGTATGACAATAAATACAAAAAAGTGTGTAACCAACAGTAATGAAATATCATTTTGGGTTACTCAATATCAAAGGAAGGGATCTCTCCAGATAAAGTACTAATAGAGAAAATTCTAAAAGTTGCTACACCAAAAAAAAAAAAGAATTGAGTCCTTCTTAGGTTTGGTAAATTTTATAGAAAATATGTACCAAAATATAATGAGTTGACAGAGCCATTTGCTAAGTTAAAAAAAAAATGTGGAATTCATTTGGTTAGAACACCAACAGAAAGCCTTTTGAAAACTTAAAACAGATTCTGGCAAAAAAGCCAATAGTACAAATTTTTGACCCTAAGAAGGACATAACTCTAACTACTGACGCTAGTGAGCAGTCCATATCTGGTATTTTGTCACAAGATGGGCATCCCATAATGTATTTATCAAGGAGATTAACAACAACTGAACACAATTATTCGAATATAGAAAGGGAGGCACTAGCCATAGTGTGGACAACGATAGAGCAAGACAGTTTTTGATGGGGAAAAAATTTTGTTGAAAAGTGATCATAGACCACTGGAATTTATTTTCAACCCAAGAAAAGAGCTACCGAAAGTTACAACGTCCAGAATATTACGTTGGGCGATTAGACTGATGGCGTTCGACTTTGACATTGAATATGTTAAAGGGAATACGATACCGCACGTTGATGCTTTATCTAGATTGAGGTTTTATAGAGAGGAGGACAAAAACGACGAGGAATTTGAAGACACATTCTTGCACCTTGTAGAAACCGATGTAATATCTGTAGATAAAATGGCTACTGAAACTACAAATGACCCAGTGTTAAATAGAATAATGTCGAGGATAAAACAGAATCGCTGGGGAAATTGTTCAATGGCTGAAAGACCATTCAAAGAAATCAGACATAAAATGACTATAGAAAACGGGATAATATGTAATGGAGACTTGGTAGTTCCCCCAGAAACACAGAGGAGACAGGTTATAAAAAGTGTACACGATGACGTACATTGTGGAGTGGCAGCTACGCAAAGAAGATTAAAATTGGAAGCCTGGTGGCCGGGGTACTCAAGAGACGTAGAAGACTACGTAAAAAGATGCAAAAAATGCACAGAACTCAGGAATTTTAAGCAAAAGAAAATACATGTATGGCCCTGAGAAGTAGAACCATGGAGCAGAGAACACATGGACCATGCCTATGTCAATGGGATAGGACTATTATTAATATTAGTAGACGCATATTCAGGTTGGCCTGAAGTGGTGAGAGTACCTGATAAAAAAAAAAGTACCACTGTAAAACAAATATTAAGAGTAATATTTTCGAGGAATGGGACACGAGAACATTGGTGACTGATAACGCACCAGAATTTGTGGATGCTGATTTGCATGAATGGCTAAGAAAAATAGGATGCAGACCTTACAAGACCCCTCCCTACCACCCTCAAAGTAATGGGGCAGCGGAAAGGATGGTCCAGACGGTAAAGAAGGGCATAAAAGCATGCTTGCAACAGAAGGAGGAAATCGATGCTTTCCTACCAAGATTACTATTAAGTTACAGAACAATTCCACATGCAGGCAGGCGGAAAGTCCATCTGCCTTAATGGGCAGACAATTAAGGTCCCCTTTGACTATGTCATATGCCACAAATCAAAAGATGTGGTACAAAAGAAATAGGAATATGCAACCAGAGTCAGCCGAATTTATTATGCAGAAAGGACATAATACTGCAATATTAAATAAAGAAAATGGGAACAGTGTTCTAGCTCATGCTGACCAAATAAGATCCCAAGGAGAAGAATCTGATGAGGAAATGCCTTCAGAGATGCCCATTATTGATGTATCAGAAGAGTTAATGCAGAATGAAACTGCGCAGGAAGAAGTAGAGAGGGATGAGTTAGAAGAGGAAGACCAGAGTATGCAAGAGGAACAATTCGATTATAGGGAAAGACGTGATAGATCTAGATCTCCAAGGGAAAGGAGAGGGATAAAGGAAGATGTTCAGGAGGGCACAAGAAGAAGTACAAGAAGTACTCGCGGCATAAGGCCCCTCCGTTATAGGGAGATGTAGTGATATGCAAATTAGTATAATTTGCATATGAGCAGGTAGCTCATAAATGGACACCAACGAGAACGGAAGTGGAATAAGAACTTAGTGGATACACGACATAACATGGTGTATGTTCCAATTTGTTTTTAATGTTTAAGATTCTCAGGCTAAAACCAGGTTTGAGGTGTTCAGTAGCATAACTTTATCCAATGTTTCTCAATAAAACTTCCTATTGACAGTAGCTTTAATTTAATATTATAGACCAGTATTGTTTTCAGATACACACACAATAAATTGAACAATATTTCACCTATTCTTTAAAGAAATATGATCAATGCTAATCACTGGAAAGCTTTAAATATTCAGTATCTCTCAATGAAATTATTTTGAGAAACTATTTTTTAAGGTGTTTAATGTTAATATTTACAAAAAAAAATTTTTTATCTGACAAAATTGAATAGGTATTTTCCATAGTGTTCTATTGCAATGCTCCTGGAGGCATAAACAGAGTGCATGACTTTAATGAACCCAAATACTCCTGGCATCAGTTTAAACAGACATCTTTGTTTTCCAACATATTATGACCATTTTGTTAAATGTTCAGCTGAAAACTTTGAAAATTTCCAACAAGTTTCAATGAAATTTTCACTTTCCAAAATTATAAACTGTAATTATAGTTCATTTTGATACATGGGGGGGAGATATCAGTTTAAACAGGTGGCAGGAGAGTACAGGTTAATAAAATCCATTTAAATTACAATTCACTGAAAGAAAATTGGACAAACTTGGACCTTTGGACCTGTGAAAAAAAAAGTGTCAAAGGGACAGTTTTTCCATTGACACCACTATTATTTTAACTACCTTCGCTCCTCAGAAATGTTTATAGTTTTAAAAATGATGATTAGAATTGTAACGTAAGCATATGATGAAAGTGAATTTATACATTTATTTTGTTCTTGAGAATTTACAACAAAAATATTAAGCACTATTTATCAAGGACACATGGCACAGTGGATAAAGGCGTTGGTTAGATCCAGTGACATAAGAGTGTGAGTTCAATACTCGGCTAAGGCAGTGGAGAACTTTCAAAGGGAAAATTAACAAGAGATAACTGATAACTGACATCCATTAAACATGGCATGTGGAACTAGAACAGTCTACCCCAGTGAGCGAAATAAAGTGTTCGGTTTGACATTCCAACCACCTGATGAAGGCCGGAGCATACAATGGCCGAAACGTTGTGATAAATATGGCAACAAAGATGAGGACAATAATCTGAATAATGTAAATAATGTACACTATTTATTTATTAGATTGTTTATTTACAAGAATAATTTTATATTTACAACATTCTAAAAACTAATACAATTAAAATTAATTTATTGCAAGATTTATCACTTACCAGTTTATAAACATAAAAACGATTTTTTTAAAATCATAAATTCATATACTTTTACCAAATTATTAAAATATATAAGCAAACTATAAAGAAATCCTTATTTACCATTTTATAAATTTGAATTAATCAACAATTAGCTGATGTTTTGCTAATCATTCCAATAAATAATCTAATAAATATTGTTTATTATTTTTGTTGGCAATTCTGAAGAACAAAGAAAATTTGTAAATTCACTTTCATATGTTTTAGGTCCTATAATTTTAACAATAAACATTGCTGAGGAGGTGAAGGTAGTTAAAATAATAGCAGAATGTCAATGGAAAAAACTGTCCTTTTGACACTACTTGTTTTTCAAAGGCACAAATATCCAAGTTTACCAAAAACTATTTGTAGCTGCTTTACTACAAGTACCTAAAAAAGAATTTCATGAAATATTTCTTTTCCTCTGATTTCTATTGAATGTCATGTTTTCAAAGACTGAGAGCCTCCTCTAACAAAACAGTTGCCTTCTTGCATGCCACTGCCAAACTCACAGTCAAGTAAATGATGATAACCAAATGAATTGTATAAGTCTGCCATTTGGAATTGTAAATTATCCTAATTCTTATTTCTGTTTTGCAGGCAAAAATAATCCAAATTCCACACTATCTCGGTGCCTTCTTTGCCTTTGGTTTGGGAACCGTCTATTGTTGGGTGCAAACGGTGATAACAGGGAAAATTTTCACTCGGGATTTTAATTACTCTCGTGGTGTTTTAATCCTGCGTATCTTCATCAGTATCTCTGTCACCATTATCTTGTTTATATGTATCCTTTTACTAAATGCAAAAATCTCACCTGTTGTCCTTAGACAAATTAGAATAGGAACTGTAATACTACCACTACTATTATTATTATTATTATTATTATTATAGCTGTCATGTATTTTGTTGTTGAAAAGTTGTAGTTTCAAAGAATCAATCCATGGTCTTCAATTTTAATCTTAGGCATAAAAAAGATATTCTGTTTCATATTAAAGTCATCACTGTTGCATTATTTCCTGGTTCTGCTGGCCCATTTTGGTGAAAAAATGGGAAATTGTCATTTGCTAAAAATAAACGACTATGAAGACCCTGATGGTGATTTCTCATGGATGCTGCCATTTTTGTTTCCATTGCAGTAGACACTAAGCTGAATGACACCCTCCCAGCACACAATATTATAAAAATTCATTACAAAACAGGCCATATTGCATTCTACAGTATATCTCTCTCTCTCTCTCACACACACACATTATATATATATATATATATATAGGAAGTGGTTTTAGTTGATAAGAACTAACTAGGGACTGATATTTCACTGTCTTGAAAACGATGTATGTCAATCTAAGAAGTATGAAAAATATAGTTGAACTAGTACATTCAAATGGCTTAAGGTCTTTGACTGATATATTCTCAAGCTTCCTTGATGTTAACACTTGAGGAATTTTGAACCAAACGTTTATTTGATTGAACAATCATTGATTGTTCAAATTTTTATTCTTTGTGATATGTTGGCCAAAAGTTATAACTCAATGCACTTTGCTGATGCTTTTTCCATTATGACATTGTTCTGTAAAACAGACACTTTAAGGATGGATGGAAAGCACAATGGCCTGAAAACACTGTGACTATAACAAGCAAGACAAGTGTGAATAGATTATTCTGATTGTTTGTATGGATCATTATGTTTTCTACATATGATCAGTATAGTATCTGTGCCTAAACTTAATCATTTCTGAGTTGGAATCAGTTATGGTTTCTGACTGAGAAGCATATAGAAATGGATTGGGGAGATTTTTTTTTTTTTTTTTTTTTATTTTTAACAGTTAGGTCCTCACTTTAAATGCCCCCTACCCAGGCCTTGTAAAGTAGAGGGTTACGTTTGGAGGATCATTTGTGTGTATAGGAGTAGAAGATAGTCAACCATAGCCTTGAACAGGTTAAGATTGTAGTGATCAGGGATACATCCTGTTGGGAGTCAGTTCCTGAGGGAAAAGGAAAAAAAAAAAAAACAGGTGAGAGGAGAGATAATGAAACAATGCCAGACAAGCTTTCTGCAGGATATCTAGTGACAAATCAATGAAAGATTCATTAAAATTGTTTGTGCATAGTGTGAGCAGATGCTGTAGACAATATTTGTGTGTTTGTTATTCATTTTTGTATATGAAACTACTAATTCATTCATATAGCATAAATAAAAGCATGGACAGGGAATAAAGATATGTAATGATAATTGCTCATCTTAAAGAAATCTGTCAGAAAAATCTCATATGAATGTCAGTTGATATATAGTCTTATTAAAGGATCAGGCACATGTAGACTTTATTTGAAATCATTAGAACCGGTGAAGCCATCAGTAAAAATGATACGATTTTGATTTAAATTCAAGGGAGATAACTGTAGCATTTTATAAGGTGCAGAAAAATATTAAAAATTAGAAGCTTCTGTGAAATCTTAAGTCTAATGAAATGGACCATTAAGTAATACAAAATAGAAATCCTACCATTTAATGGTAGTATGAAGTTATGAAAAGAATTACTGAAAATTTTCCACGTTAACAGAAACAGGTAATTGATATGAAGAATATTTCAAAAGAAAAAAAATGATAAAAATTTACATAATTTTACTTTACCTTTCTTGAGGTTTTAATAATCTACAAGGGAATTTTTATTTATATATATATATATATATATATATATTATATATATATATATATATATATATAATAAAATTTTATTTATTTATAAATTTGATTCCCTGTCTTTTAAAATGGTATATGTTTAATTTCTTAACTTCATTCAGTCACTGCCACAAAAATTTTCTACAAAAAACACAAATTCCCAGGATCCAAATGGGTAAGTGCTTTTTCAATTCAAAACTCACTTTCCAGTTCACACTCCTCCCTGGTCTTTTGAACAGGAGTAGAGATTTATCCCTTGTTTCCTGTTTAGGATTGGATTTTTGGTTTCTTCTAAAGTCTTATTCTCTTTCACTCCCAGTAGCCCTTTGCATCTTAGTGACATTATCACCTTGCTTCAGGTGAATTGATTAAAAAAATAATGGAACCAATAAATATAAAAAGGATATAAATGTTCTGACATTATTTTAAAACTTACTTTTTTGCAATATGGGTTTAAATGATTTTTTTTTTGTTTTGATTAGAATTAAGAAAGGTATTTCTATTTCATTTATTTCATCAAGAGATAAGTCTTTCAATTTTATAATTCTATTTTTATTCCTTTATCTTATTGTTTGACAGTATGAAAAGCATCTGGCTGTAAATGTTTTTCAGTAATTTTGTTATACAATTACCCAATCTAAATTTGATTTTGACTTAACTCATTAACCTTGACAAAAATGTCAATCATTTGCAGTTGAATTAGAGAACATAAGCTGATAGATTAAAAAAAAAATTTCCAGTTAATTAGACAAAGCTGGGTAAATATCTATTATTATAATTTGATTGTAAAATCTTTTGTTTTCCTAATTCTCTTTTCTAGAATGTCCATCGTGGTGTGTACTTAACATCAACAAGCACAGAATGGCTTTTGGCTATTTGTATTCTGCTTTATGTACTGAGCTTCATAGCTGAATTTCGAAATATTCGGCTACGATTTCCAGAAATAGTGAGTACAGTAGTAAGTAAAGATGTGTTTTCTATTTTTAAGGGATGGCACAGGGGGTAACAACCATACTATAAATGGTACTTTTCCCATAAGAAATAAAATAAAGGGTACCTGTTAAAAAACAAAAAAACTCTCACATTTTGATACAGTTGGTGTTTGATTTGATTCTTCTAACACCCTTCACTTTCTCATATATATATATATATATATATATATATATATATATATATATATATATATAGGTATACGCAGACACACACACCCTTTCTGGCTGTCTGTCTCCCTTCCTTCATCTTTCTTTCCTTTTTGTCCCCCACTTCCTTTATATACATCCATAATGTTAACTCAACTCTCCAGGTTTTGTAGCTGTAGTCATGTATTGAACTCGCAACACTTTGGGTCATGGCAGTGGATTTAACCAACACTTTTAGCCACTGGACCATCTGTTCTTGAGGATATCAGTGATAAACCTAATTACTGTACTGTATAAAAATAATTTCAGCACACTAATCAAAGTATTCCTGCATATATGTGTGTGATTGAAAAGTAACTCCCTATTTTATGTATGATGGCCTCTCCCATCTAGACAGGAAAACCCATCATACATAAAACATTTCAATCCTCCTGTATATTATTTTTTTTTCTTTTCTTTTCACTCTTTCATTTATTTATAAAGACACATTTTCACATTTCAGGAACGCTCCAATACAATGGAAACCAATCACCAATTGTCTTGAACTGATGCATTTCCTGTTTCATAGTGCCAATGATGCTGGCTATGATTACATCAGTGCCTTTTCCAGAAGGAAAGTTGTTATTCTTTGAATAGACTATAAAGGCTGGCAAAATGCAACCTGGAATACTTCCAAATTTTCCAAGGTTTCAACTCCAACAAACTGCTGCAGAAAACAGATTTCAAGATTATTTTTAATTTTTTTAAAATCAAAAATGCTTCATATTATTTAATAATTTTAATTTTCATTTAAAAAAAAAAAAAACTTATATGCAGAATTTTAAATTGAACAATTATTTTACAAAATATGACAGTGTGTATGGGGAAGTTCTCAGAATAGAAAGCAAGTAATCATTATTTACACATGCTGAACACTTAAAATTAATCTGCCATTGAAAAGTTCTCAGTCTGAACAAGAAGAATGGCCTAAAACATACATACTCAGCCCTTTAAGAAAATTGGTCATAGAAATGCTTTTCAGCAATCTCACATATATAAAATGACACACGCACACAAATTTTACTTGTGGTGCTCCTTGAAAGACAAAAATTTGGCAGCTTTTATCTAACTCTGTGGCTCTGATATATCAATCATGGGAATTGCTTACAAGATCAGCATGACTTTATTCACCTAGTTGAGTGGGTTGGGGGAAATGAACAGGAAAAAATGCTTTAAATTATATAATACTCGTACATACCTAAACACAAAAAATACACCAAAGATTTTACAAATTATTTTTTTAAATTTTACATTTTTTTGTCTTTGATATATGGTCCATTTTACTTTTAAAACTACTAATACATAATGGTTCAATACAAATTTTATTGTTGTTACTTTGTCTTCCTTTGATTCTGATAAGTGGCTATATGATAGAACCAAATTAAAACATTTTAACTTACTATAAACTCTTTCAAACTTTCATTTATTTTTAATGTTAACTTTTGGAAATCTTTGCTTTTCATTATTAAATCCAGAATGAAATAGGTTCAGCCCACCAACTTTTCTTTCATTGTCAATGCTAGAAAGTAACATTTGACACATCTCAAATCAATGTCGATCTTGTGTTGAAATTAATTTATCACTAGATGACATGTTTGGTATATAATTGTTGCATATCAATAATCAGATTTAATCAAACTTGACCTAATCACCATTCAAGCAAAGTGTTTCAGTTAATCACTAAGCTAATAATCATGAGTATTTTCACTGTGATGTAAATAAGGTTGGGGACCACTGTTCTGTTTTTTTTTTTTATTAGTCATTTCAGTCACTGCCCTCCAGCAATTGGTTATGGCATTAGAGATTTAATCTCAAACAGCACCACCCCCCTCTAATTAAATTAAAATCTTGCTGGATTTAAAGAAAAAAAATATCTTCATCTTTATGATCACATTTTGGCCAGTTTATTTAATTTTTTTTTTGTCTTTCTTATGTCTCACAGGCACAGGGTAAGCACAAAGCCCTTTTTGATTAGCCAATTATATCTTTACACAAAAATGATTATTAATTGGTGTATTTAACACCACAAAATTCATATTTTCTATCTTCCATACTTCTTAAGATATAATTGTACATCATCAGGGATGGTCTTTTCTATCACTTCCATCAATGATATTTAGGATGGAATCCCTCTGGAGAAAAAGAAAGAAAAAAATTTATTTTATCTTGTATTTTGAAATTTCTTCACTACCTTATTTTCTGAGGCTTGTGAAATAATTTTCATTTTAATATTATTATATCTTATTAAAGATGTGCAGGGAGTCTTTGTACTATTTTTCAAAGTTCACAACAGATTAACAGAAAAGACAGCTCTTTGTCAGTGTGTGGTAAATAGCTTCACTAACCCAACTGTGAAGCATAAACTCTTAACAGATGGGTGGAGTGGGGTTACTGAATGAATGAAATAGGAGCCTGGACCAAGGAAGTAGACATTCTATTTCAAAAGGAAAAGATACAATTTGAGTGTTTACAAAAAACAGTAATTTGGACCAACTGTGTATAGATGTTTTGTTCTTGTACAGTCTTGATGTGTGCATGTATAGAGTTTGGTTTGATGTGTAGAATTGTTGTTGCCATGATGGTGTACATATTCTTGCTTTTAAAGGTCATGGCTTTGAATGTATGGAACAAAGACATTAAGTTTTCAGGAATGTAACCTTTGATAGAAATGGAAAATTTTGTTTTCATGTAGAAAGGCCCAAACTGAAGTTCTATCTTATCACTAAACTAAATGAAAGAAACATTAGCAATTCCTGGAAATTCAATTCATTTGGCACCAAATTCTGGAAAAAAACAAACAAACTGGAATGACAAACCAAGTTGTTAAACAACTGTTGCATCTTCATTGGAGGAGTGAATGGGAGATTAAGTTTTTTTTTTTTTTTTGTTTTTTTTTTTATAATAATTATTATTTGTAATGTGTCAGCATGTGTATGTATCTTGGAAGATGGAATTAACTTAGAAAAGAGTGTATTGAGTTGCTAACAATAAAACAGCTACTGACAACTGATTTTTATGTCTGGGATCCATACATTTATAATGGTATCACCCAAGGTGGTGGTGGTAGTCCATCAGAACTAATTGCCGATGTATATTTCTAATTATTATTATTATTTTTTTTTTTTTTTTCCATTTTTGTACATTTTTTACTTGACACTTTTTTTTTTTTTTTTTTTTTTTTTTTTTTTAAATAAAATCATTAGCAAATACTGTTTTGGTGTTTTTTTTTTTTTTTTTTTTAATTCAAACTAGTAACCTTGTTTTGGCTATTAGTCAAATAACCAAAACAAGGTTACTAGTTTATGAGTTAATGTTTCAGCTATTGTCTCCTCTATGCCTTCTTCAGGTATCTGTCACATTTGTTAACTATAGCTCTTATTGGGAGTTGAAGAGAATGAGATAGGACAATAAAAAAATTCAAGAAGCAGATGACAATTGTATTTAAATTTCTGAAGATCATGTGGGCAGGAAACAAGAAATTGGAAGAGTTCTACAGGTGAGAAGTGCAAGTAAAACTATTAGAATAGGAACTTAGTTTTACTGTTGAAATAGCTAGATATAATTGAGATCTAGTAGTATGCTTAAATTCATGCAGTTTAGGTACTAAAGAGGAGAAGTCAGTAGAACAACAGCCATAAAAATATTTATAGAAAAGCCACATCATGGCAATGGGAAAGTGACTCAAGTAGAAATGCTTGGTTATGACTGATAATATTAATTGTATACAGTTAACCAATGCCTAATATGCACTTGACATACAGGAGATATCCTTTGATTACATTCCATAGTTGATGCTAATCTCTCCAAGAGGATTAAATAAAAGGAATTCAGTTTGAAATTCTGCCAATATTTTCAAATATGAAAGACTGGAGGGTACAAAAGTTAAAAAGATTTTTGTAAAGTCAGTGAATAATTATTCCTCTTGTCATGATAAATTTTTATATGTAAATCAAACCTAGTGAGAATGTTAGCTTATGTGATTTCTGACAAAATAGAACTGCATACCACACCCCAGCTAATTTATATGGTGAAAATATAACCATAGAAAATTATTTAGAAAGTGTAACCCAATTAATGACAACATCAAAACATCACTATCAAATTGGTCTATCAGACAAGTTTTGCGAACCTGATGGTTTGAAGGGGATCATTTGTTTAGTGATATATCTCTCTCTCTCTCAAGAGAGAAAAAGTTTAGTTACAAAATTTATCCCACTCAATTTGAATAAATTATGTTAAATTGGCAGATTCAAATGAAATGATTGCTATTGGTCCACAGGTATAGGCTCCAAATTGCCAAATGCAACTACTACAAATTCTATGAATTGCTTCAGCAAGGATTTTCTTTAAGATTTTAAATAAAAATTTACTAACCTTTTTTTTCTCTTCCATTTAATCAAATCCGTGTTTTCATAAACTGAAAAAAAAAAAAAAAAAACACTTTTATAACCTAAATTATAATTAGTTACTAAATTAGTCACCAAATTAAAAATGAATTTTCTATTATAAAATTTTCATTTCTTAACAAAAAGAACTTTGATATTTTAATATCAACTTAGAAATATTACCTAACACGTGAATCTTCACATTTAAGCCAAATTTCGACATGAGTTTCCCAGATTAAACTTTTCTACCAAGTAACAGAAAAGCAACGGGCAATCCAACCAAAGGGAGATTACTAGTTTTCCTTTAAAAGTAAGACTTATATTTGAGTTATCTCCCTTTCAAGCATTGACATTTTTGTAAATAATGATATTTAAACAGTCAAATGTTTTAGTGTTTTAAACTAAAACACATTTTTGGACACCCCTACATGCGACACTACATTACATACACAAAATTCTACGTTTTAATTTTTTTGGTGGTGGGGTTGGGTAGCTTAATGTTATTATAGCAAACAAATTATTAAAAAATTATTTAAAACAAATACATGCATAAATAAACTAGGATTCAAATATTTATATATATATATATATATATATATATATATATATATATATATATATATATATATATATATATATATATATATATATATATGATTTAAAATATGATTTTTGGTTTTTACACACAGTTCTAACCATGTTTCAAAATGGAAGCTAAAAGCTTCGAATTTAATTTTGTAATTAAAGACATTAGTTCCATTTCATCCTCAAGCGAATTTTGGAGAACATTTAAAATTACTGGGTTTAAAGGCACAACAAAAAATCATAATTCACGTTTCCATTTCTCTGTATCCTTGGAAATGTGAATTATGATTTTTTGCTGTGCCTTTAAAACCCAATAATTTTAAAAGTTACTCCAAAATTCACTTGAGGATGAAATGGAACGAATATCTTTAATTTAATTACAAAATTAAATTCGAAGGTTTTAGCTTCCATTTTTGAAACATGGTTAGAACTGTGTAGAGAAAAAAACATATTTTAAATCAATTAATTTATAATATTAATGCTCTGTAAATTTACATTGAGCACTATTTTGTAAAAATATCTATAAGAACACTGGATTATATATCTTACTGTTCTTTCTTTATTTTATATATATATATATATACATATAGTGTGTGTGTTTTAATCTCCATGGCTGGTATAAGGCCAATTGGTGGATGGATGGAATAGGAAGATATTACATCACTTTATCAAATTGAGAAGGGCAGACTTTTTTCTTTTCCCATCATTTTGCAGTTGAAGTGCAGTGAAGCTATAAAAAAGATAAACACTTACCTGTCTTATGGTAAAATGTCAACAACTGCCTGCCTATTCTATTCCTAGAAAGCCTGCATCAGACAGCAACATGTCAGTCTACAAGTGCAGTCCCATGGACTGCACTTAGAGAGTTTCAATTCGACTGTTGGGGTAGCATTGCATCATTTGTGATCATACAGACACACATGTCTGCAATTAAAGGCACTCTCTTCCAGTGTTGCCTTCTTTCCTTGCAGTGCATTTTTCCTCAGTAGCAATTTTCAGTCTCTTTTCCTTGCTCTATTGTGAATGATCTTTCTATTTCTCAGTGTCCAAGTCCAATGACTTCATGTCTCTTTTGCAGAACCAAAGATGAAACCATTCTCAGACATACGATGTTTGTGACCCAGTCAGCAATGACCACACAACTGAAATAGAGTGAAGAGGTTAGATATCCGAGTATAGGTACGGACTCCAGAGAAGCTGACTTGGTCAGTTCAACTAGTGTTTAGAATGCATCTTAGGCTATAAAGTTAGAAAGTGTTTAAACACTGATCTTGTTGGAAGTAGAGACTCGAAGTATTGCTGCCAAAAAGCAATGGGTTAAGGATGTATACCCTGTAAACTAAAGAAGACATGCTGGACTTATGAAACATTATTCAGAATAACAGAATCAATTATATTTACTAACTTTTTTGGCAAATAAGTTTTTTTTAAAAATTAGTATTCTTTAGACCTTGACACCACAATACTTGTCAAAATCGAAAAAATATTGATTCTTTATTGATTTATAATATCTCTACAGTGTCAAATTGATCCCTAACTTTTACAAAGTTGTTGGACCTAATTGTTTTGCATATAAAAACATTTTTGGAGGGGGTTACAAAACAATATCTTTTAAATAATGAAGAAATTGATTTGTACACTTTTAATTAAAGAACAAAAATTTACATATGAAGCCTATTTAAATTTATAATCTCAAATAGGCTTCCCAAAAAATTGGATAGAGAAAAAAAAGAAGTTTAAAAACAGTTAAAAAAAAGTTTAAAATTTCTAAAATAAAAAAATATGCATGCAATATTATCACACTTTGAAACATGACATTTGTAAATAACTGCTAAATTCAATAACTAAAAATCAGGAATCGATTTTACACTATATTGCTATTATTAAAAAAAACAAAAAAAAAAAACAATATTTTTCAATTCTGACAAGTACCACAGAAGAAGGAAATTATTATTAATGTAAAATATATGTATATTTAATTTTTTTTTTTTTTTTTTTAATACATGCAGACCAGGCTGGCCCAAATTTTTTTTTATACAAACAGACCAGGTTGGGCCACTTTTTATTCTTAGCAAATACGTGGATTAATTATTGACATGAACTTATTTAATTTTAATTGCTTTTCATTCCAATCACCTAGGACCTTACTAACAGATCCTAGAATGTTGGCCTAGCTCAACATTCTAAAGTCTGTTAGTGAAGATCATAGACTGAAAATAATGTTTAAAAATTAATAGTTGACAATACTTCCTTTAATACAAGTGTTTTCAACATCACCTCAATGAGATGTTTGAACACCACAGTTCTTGATATACACCTACTGTTCTAAGAGATTGAAAACTGCATATTCCTTTTCAAGAGTGGCTTATCTTTCTACATTCTTTAAGTCTTGCAAGACTGAAGGCAGGACTACTAATCAATGCAGCCAAAAGAAATTTACTCAAACTCATGTACAAATAGGAAACTGACTGATCAAAAAAGTGGAATCATTCATGTATTTAGGCAAAAGCAATCAATAAGCAAACATAACATGAAATAAGAACTTCTGAGGGGGGAAAAAGGAGAGATTGGCAGTGTACAACAGAATAAAACTTATAAAAATAAACTGCACCTTAAACACAAGCCTGCCTCTTTGACATTTTTCTAACAGTAATGTTGTATGGCTTCAAAACTGAAATACACATGCACACCAAAAATATCAAATAAAACAAAGCCAAGCAATTATTCAAGTACTAGTAGAAGAGCTGGTAGAATTGAAATTATCCTTTTCATCCCCTCCCAAACACATCACAATGCTTATATGGCATGATATGCTTATTATTTGTCAAATAATTTTCTCTGTGGCATAATTTATTCCAGCTTATTAAAGTCATACTATTATTTTTAAAGTTAAAACAAATTCACCAGGTATTGTAAGCTTGGATGTGCAGGTGGTGTAATGGATAATGACTCAGAATTGTTAACTGGAGAGCTGAGTTCTAAGTCCCGTTGGGTTCATTAATAAATAAATAAGTAAATACTCTTGGGAAAGGGTTTGAATCTATCTCTCCATCCCTCCCAGCTATATGTTAATTAATAATCACTAAACGATTATTATCTAAAAAAAAAAAAAAAAATCTTAATCTAAAATTTTTTTCTAGCAATCAGTAAGCAAACATAACATGAAATAAGAACTTCTGAGGTGGAAAAAAAGGAGAGATTGGCAAATATTTTATTTAAATAACCTGCAAAAGAATGATAAGACATAGAAAATGAATCCAGCTAGCATATCTGTTCCAGACAGTACTTGTATATTTGGTAATCTGAGGATGAGATGGAACAAAGGGTTCTCAATATAACGCTCCAAGAGCAAAAAAAATAAAATAAAATAGAGAAATGCCATCAAATTCAAAGATGTCATTCTCAAGAGTTGAATGCAAAAGCTAAGCTAACCATGTGATCTGAATATTAGATAACAGGTGGATGTCACAAACAGCAGACTGGCCTCCAAGAGTTGAAAATGAAAATAAAAAGGTGGAATAAAACTGATAAGAAGCTTCAATATAAACTGGCACATTAGAACCAGAAACAGAAATGGCACAAAATGATCCATACAAAAACCAAAGGAGTGATTAGATGAAAGATTAAAAGTCTCTTAAAAGATTAAAAGTCCCTGTCTCTTGAACAAGTGTAAAGGTTTATCCCTTATTCAGGATCGGGTTTCCAGTTCCTTCTAAAAATAATTAAGCTTCTGACATAAACATATAGATATTTTAATAAGTACTGAAAATGTTTGATTTATCATGTGACCCTTGAAGCTGTGGTTAGCAATCACATCATTACTTGGTGCTCAACACTTGTAGCCTTGTAACAGACTAACCTAAATTTAATAAATACTAATTGGTCTGCTTAGTAGCAGAGATGTGTTTAATCAATGTATATTTGTGTATGAAATATACATTCACTGGAGACAACAGGCAATGAAAGCAAACTGACCATACATCTATCTTCCACAAAGCTGAATGAACAGTCTAATCAGAAAGGTTTTTCTTAAAGTGAATAAAGGATTTTTATTAGGGTTGATTTTAAAATAGGAGAATAGAAAGTGAGTGAGTGTAAGCGAGAGAGAACACATCAAATCCAAAGAAGAATCTGCAATGTTATCAGTTCTAACCTGATATCTCAGCTTGTCATTTTCCCACCACCATAATGTAGCTTCTCTGTGCCTTTTCTATATTGTCATAGTAATTGTTCTGATGAACTTTTCATTATGTCACCTAGACTTTATAAATTTAAGCACAGTACTAGAATGGCAACAAGGCCTTATCAGTTTATAGTTGAATTGACTAGGTGCAACTGTAAGTTCTATGCTAACAGTTTTTTCTATCACACTTGTGGAACTCCTCTGGCTTTATGCTTTCCAGCCAACTTTGATCTTCATTATTTTAAATCCAATGTCAATTGCTATCTAGTCTTTTTGATTCCTCTTCTTTTACTGTTCTTACTCCTTTTTCTTAACTTTCACACTCAGTAACCCCTTGTATCATAGTGGCTTTCTACCTTGCTTGAGGTGAAATGAAGTGGAGTCATCAATCTTTCTTTCTGTTCAGTTAACCACCATTTCTGATGTCACCCTGGATATTTCACACATCTCTGGAAATCAATTTACTTTAACTTATTAATTGTAGTTTCAGGTTTCATTATTCAGCATTTGAACTGCTGCAAGGATTAATTAATTTAAAACAATATGTGGAATATTTGCTGCATTAGTTTAAACTGTTTTATGAATAGCAACAATTTATGCCTTAATATCTGGAATGAGGAATTATAATTATGAAATTCCCTGAAGCATACACTGGTTGACAGACACTTGAAGAAGGCTAGAGTGCACAGCTACTGAAACATTGTGATAACAACAAATTAATTCAAATGTAATTTCAATTTTTAAAACTTTTTGAAGGATACTTATATATTTTGTTATATCTACTTTCATATGGAAGTCATTCATGGCATCCAACTTGTTTAAAAATACCTAAACTATCATCTGATCAGCAATTCAAAATGGCTTTTGTTAAGGGGTCCACCCCTTTTTTATACAAGTGGACTCGCCCAGTGTGTACTTGTACTGCTGCCGGTGAATACCTGGGAGTGATACAGTGAGAGAGTGAGAGTGTGAGGTAACCGTTTTATAGAAGTCACAGTTGCGAGTACGTAGACTCAGAAGGAAGTCCTACTTCGATACTGAATTTCCCAGACTGTATATATATTATTATTGCTACTAACCGCATTTCTGGATCTACTAACCGTATTGCCAATTGTATTATTACGTCAATACATTTATTTGTTATATTTCATTCCTGCGTTTGTCATTCATTTGAGACCGGATTTCATCCCGGAATCCACAACAGCTTTAAATGAATAATTCTTTGTCTTAAAGATGACAATCCATCAATGCAGATTGAAGTGAGCTTGTGGTACGGGACTCTTTCACCAACATGGGGCTAATATAAATACACAAAAGGCAATAAAGTAAATGATTTAGACTTTGAGCACTTGAAGTGAATGTAACTATCACAGACATCAATGCCAACTTTTCTCGCAATTTGTCTGACTGCACACATTTTGCCAATCTTGTAGTATGCATTCAAGGAGGTGAGCTCATCAGAACAATTATCATGAATATATATATATATATATATATATATATATATATATATATATATATAAGTCAGAGGGAAGCTGTGTCACATTATAAAAGCATTTAACATTCAGTTACAG